GGTCGGGTGTCGCACAGTCCAGCCAGGCGCTGGGATACAGGGCGGGAATGCCCAGCCCGGGATGCCCGGGGCAGCCTGCGGCAGTGCCAAACCCAGATTTCTTGTCTCCAGGGTCAGTACCTGTAAGCTTAACATGACCTCTTTTGGCCTTCACTGTGTTTCTGCTGTTCACTTGGAAAGAATGCTGTTATGGGAAGGAGGAATGAAGTAACTATGTAAGAAAAATTATTGAAATAGTATTTTTGAAGTAGTATCTAATAACTATTGCATATGCATTAAAACAACAGTATTAAAGATATGACCAGCCCATTTAAAACAAAGATGCTTCAAGCAGATGAACAACCTTCCACCCATAGTCCACATTATATCCAAGGATTCACATTCACTCCCAAGCAGGTGATGTGACCTTTGCTGGAACCACCTTTTACCTCAAAAATTAAAGTCTCAAAAGATGGTTCTGGGAAAATCTCAGTTAACAACAGAATTGAAAACTAAGTTTGTATCCAGCTACCAACAGGCTGTGAGGGTGAGCAGACAGCTCACAGCAATCTGTTCTCAGTAATTCTTCTAACAAAAAATCAAATGTTTGGAACAATGTGAAACACCAAGGGCAGAACGTGATGTCCATGGAATGGTTTTAGGCTTACTCGAGAGCAGACATTACGTCAGACCTGTGTTGGATGCTGGATAAAATACACACATACAGGGTCAGACAGATTTATTTTACCTGAGGACACTTTGTGATTTTTTAATGGCTTCTCTTATGAATAACTCAGCATTTATAAACACTGAGAGCCATAATAAGACATACAAGCCATCTAACCTGAAAGATTGATTCAAACATAAAAGGACAAGTCAAAGCACTGATAGAAAATCAATGTCTAATGTTTGGCAGTGCCAGGAAACAGCAAACGAGGCAGATTTTGCTTAAAATAGTCTGTGCAGCATTGCTTAATGTAAAGAAATAAATTTGCCTTTAAATAGTTCAAACCACAAGATGATCAGGGGTTATTAAAGGACTTATTTCCTTTAAAAGGTGGGGATTTTGAATATGGACAGATAATTTAGGGTCACAAACTGTAAGAAGCACTTCTCATCACTCTTGAGACTCAAAAGGGGAGGAGTACCAGGGCCAGTAGAACTTGGGGAAACACATCCCTCTAGTGGCAAAAACCTGCCAGGTGAGGAGAGAACCCTCCGTATTCCCTACGGAGTTGTCAAAAGTGGTGTAGCAAAACAGCTGTACCGTTCTGCAAATGCAAGGCAGGTATGTGTGGGGATGTCCCAGGTGCAACTTGCCTTATTCACCTCGTGTCTTTCTTCATTTGTTCTTGGTTAATGAAGGTTTCATGGCATATTTCCACATGAGTTTTTATGTAAACACTTCTTCATTCCAGTTCATCCCAGAAAAGAAGCCTATGAGTTATCCTAAATGATACCAGAAAGATTTACCCTTTTCATCTCTAAAATTGCCTATGTGGCCTCTCTATGCTAAATGCATCGGGACTATAAAGTTTGAAGTTTTCATCTGGAGATTCTGCTGTGTAGACTTAGATTTTTACTAGAAGGTGTATAATCACACAACAGACAGAAGGTGGTATCTGCTTAGCCAGCAGAGATAGGGTGACCCATAAACCCCATTAACTCATGTCAGCCTATACCATTCTCCCTGGCTTGATCCTTCTCTTCAGCCATGCAGCAATCCTAACAACCTTCAGTAAGCAGTTTCCTTATTCCCTTGTTCATCTCACTAAGCCTGTTACAGGAAGCAGAAAGCTAACAACAGTATCAGTAACTTGAATATATTTCTAAAATGATATACAGTAGTTAAAAGGAAAATACTTGGTTTAATATTTGCCCACTGAGATTCCTCTTTCTCCTGAGAAGTTTTACATGACAGACCATAAACTTTAGCCTAGGAACTGTGAGGCAGTTTTCAAGAGTATATAGAATATCCCAAGTTAGACTTAGGTTATAAAATCCCCTAAAAACCACTCAGATGTGAATTTATATGCACCACTGGCTTTTTAATGTTCAAGAACCTTTGCTTTGCCTTCTACTCCCACATCTCACAGTGTAGATAGTCATACATCCAAGCAAGCACTTTGGTTTTAATTCTGCTTTCTGAAAACACAGGAGCTATCTGAGGTAATAAAACCTCAATAATGAAGAAGTACTTGTCTAAAGTGGTAGATACAATCCTAGTAATGCAAAGATCTGAAGGTATTTTTTTTACTTCGCTCATCTTCCACTAATTATCTGACACAAGGCACTGAGACAGGAAAAAGCCTTAGTTTCCTGTGTCCTTCACCTGAAACTTTATGTACTAGAAATCACACAATGTAATCTGGTGTTACCAACGTGTTTCATATATGTTAGGTCACAGAACACCAGTGATGTTCCTAAGGAAAGGAGTAATTGTTAGCAACTGACGTAGGGCATTTTTGCTGATTAACAACTTTAATAGCTGTATGAGCTTAACTGTCACACAATTTCTTTCAAGATACTGGAATCAACACAGACATTGTTTATTCATTTCCATCAGCAAGCAGCAGGATGTCTATTCCATTGCTCAGTCACAATTTGTCATTGTGCATTGAAGACCATTCATACTCTTAATTGTCAGGTGTGGATTTCATAGAATTGTCAACAAGATTCTTATCAGGTGTTGGATAATGATACCAAGGTCCATCCCCTCTCTGCCTCATCAGTCTGCGTGCCTCCAGCTCCATCATCCTGGAAAATAAGAGCAAGAGACACACTCAGCATGAAGTTTATTGATGTACTGATGTTTAACATCACGGCATTACTGACAACATCAATGACTTTAGCATCTATGGTTTATAAATACTGATGAAACATATGTAATAGCTAATAGTTTCACATTTTGGTAAAACATGAGTTATTACATCCTTCATTTTTTTCTCAGCAAGTCATTTCACAAAGGAGCAATAAAAATCTTTGCAGGAATTCTGTCACAGATTCTTGCCCGGCTACGAGCATTCACAAAGGCATAAAGAACTGTTCATTTGCTGACTCAGGAAGACAGAGCTACACCTTTATAAATATCAACTGTTCTGAAGAGCCCCTGTGATTTTACAAGTCTGCTCTTGGATTGTTCTGGTAATCTGAATACTGAGAAGGCAGATACCATAACTTCCACTCTGGCACCAGCCAGTGCAGCCAGCACTGAGGGTCAATTGATACATGAAGTGTTATGTCAGCATCCAACTCAGTATGTTAAGCAAAATCAAAGAGTCAACTACAGTTTGTATCAGTATTTTGAACCCCTCACCTACACCACATACCTCATTTCAGCTTTCCTTGATTCAATGTCAAGCATAGCCAGCTCCTTCTCATAGTCCTTTTCCGGGGGGTCAAGTAAGTAACGAGCTATCCAGCGACTTATAGGGTGCTGGGAAACATAAAAGCAGAGATTATTCATGCAATCTGCAAGTAGAAATGTCATCATAACTGAATTATTTTGTATATTCACAGTCCTGAAAAGATGTCATTGGCACTGTAAGCGCTGTCATTCAAACCATAACAGTAAAGTTAAAACATCCACAACTACTTTTGAGATCAGAACCCTAAAAAGCCATATTACTTCCACCATTTAATGCCAACATAACCTGCAGATGACTATTCTGCAGCAAAATTAAAAGTTAGTGGAAGACATGTGATTTATTTTCATAGAATCATAGAAAGTGGTTGGAATGGAATGCACCTCAGAGACCATCTAGTCCTAACCCCCTGCCCTGGGCAGGGACACCTCCCACCAGACCTGGTTGCTCAGGGCTTTATCCAGCCTGGCTGTGAACACTGCCAGTGCTGGGGCAGCCACAGCCTCCCTGGGCAACCTGTGCCAGTAAAGTTCCTTAAACTGCCACTGTTATCACAGAAATGGGACTCCAAACCTTACTGCAATCAGTAACATTTCAAAGTTTTGCTTCCACACAGAGAGCATTTCACTCGGAACAGAAGTCTAAATAGTCGCAATAGTATTGCTGAATTCAACTACTTCCTCCCAGAAACAAAACAGTGCTTGCAGCAAGGAGCCAGGGGCTAATTTTAAGAAAATGAAATGAAAAACCTACAACCTTCAGTTTCTGACTAGAGAAATCTTCATTTTTAGATATAAAAGTGGGTGTGATGTTGGACTTGAAAACAACACTGGCAAACAAAACTAAAGAAAGAAATGTCACCTTCAATTCCAGTGTCCTAAGATGTTGTAGAAAAAAGACAAGAACTGCAGGCTGTTATAAAAGAATTCCTAGCATATAGCTTCAGCAGGTTACTTGCATGAAGTTAACACATCATTTGCATCTCCTTATGTCAATAAACATATTTAATACAGCAATGTGCATGTTCCATCAAGCTGAAAAAAACTATGTTTACCAAAACTGTAACTGCAAAATCTGAGTTCTACTACACTGACACACATTATCATAGTCCACACATTTCACTGCTAGAAGTAGCATCAAAAGGAAGACTGTCCATAACATGCCACCCTTTTCACATGTCACACTCACTTTGTAGTACTCCCAGTACTCTGGAACATAACCTTCAGGAATCTCTGCTAGTTCAGCTTCACCTGACAAGGAAAGGAGAAATATTTATTGTATGATTTTTTAATGTACCTTATATTCTGCCTTTCCATTAGGAAAAGATCATTATTTCACATGAAAAGCACTTAATCCCTCAATCTGAGCTCTAGGAGGAGAAATTGGACTTGTAGTTCTTCCAGACACATCACACTGCATGGATGTAGCTCACAAACTTTAAGTGACACAACAAAACGATGAAATCAGCAGCTATACAGAACAAACAACTTGGATCAAGTCCCCAGAAATGCCCTTTAAAGTATAGGAGCTGAAAGCATGGGGCTTTACTAATTTCTCTATTAAATTAATTACATATTATTACAGCAGTAGATTTAACACATGTATTGCCAAGCAGAATTTTGGCATCTTTGCTAGATAAAAGGCAACACTTATTCTTGTTAAAGTAGTGTGCAAAACAAGGTAATACAACACAGAACTGTTCACTAAACCGCACTGAGGTTTGAAAGACTGTAAAAAGGTGGATTTTTTCCAGTTTTAAATTTATAAGGCCAATTTCATGGTCTTCAAGCCTCAAAAGATGTTTTTCCCTATCCAGCATGGTTAGTTCCCAGTAAATAATTCCAACTGTGTAGTTAGCCATGGCAGAACACTCACCAATGAAGATGTTGACATATGTTATGAACAGTACTGCTGGGATTCCCGTCAGGAATATGTAGAATCTCTGTGTAGGGGATAAAAAGAAACAGCATGGGAAACTCAGGGCCCTGACAAGATTTAGATGAGATCTGTCTGAAGATGGTGTAAGAGTTATTGGCTAGTAACTCTTAGATTTGCATTCCTAGGTTAGAAAGGGATGTTGTATGTTGATTCTGTCCTTCCCTCCCTGACGGAATGTGACATAACTTCTGTATAACTGCATAAATATAAAAAGAATTCTTTTTTTCTGTATGTATATGAACACTGCTGTTTAAAATGAATGAATGAACTAGAACAGGAGAGACAGAGTGTCCATGAGCATGTTCAGTTCAGCTTTCCCTCTCCCAGCAGGGTCAGTCCCTGCAGCAGCAGACAGCACTGCCTCCCTGAACACTGCCACAGAATCTGGGGGTGAATGCCTTCAGCACTTAACTGGAATGAGGCACTAGCAGCAGAGGAATAACCAGGAAAACTCATCACATGCAAGGGAGTTGTATAAAACTGGCTGTTCCCGTCATAATAGGCTTTGTCCAAAACCTGCTTTTTGCGGGATCAAACTTGGGTCAGCCTTCCTAAATCTCACCTCTGGTGTCATCTCTGATGAAATATCATCTCTGGTAACCCTAAATAGTATATCTCTATTTATTAAT